GTAAGCTCCATGCAGTTGGCATGCCCTCTGAGAACCTAAAATCAACCTCAAATAAGTTTAAAATGTTATACAAGGTTAATGCTTATGAATCCTACACAAATGAACATATTGTATAAGGTTCTATGTATGTAACATTGGATTGAACAATAAAGCTGGAAGTAGATGTTTTTTATTTAGAGGAAATCATGATTGCCAAATCTCATAGTTTTAAACACAAAGGGAAATAATAATTGCTTTGAAATACACAAAAAGTATAAACCCACTCAGAACTACATATGTGTCAGGGTGGCCTTGATTATAACAATAGAAAAAATCAGAAAAATACATTTTGAGGTATTAACACAGTAGCAAGATCACTGGTGATTTAATACATTTTTCTTTTTTTTAATATACTAAATTCTATAATACATATGTATTGTTTTTAGAATAAAGGTAATTAAGTTGCATTTCTAAGTTTTGCTTTTGAGGGTCTTGTTACTGAGATAGCAGGGGCTGCATGTGTGCATATGTGTGCACCTGATAAGTGTGAGGGTAACATGAGTGCACCAGAGAGAAACTCAAGTGATGATGGAAATTGGGAGGGCAAGCCAGTAATGTAGATGAAAGAAGAAGGCAGATAAAGGAGAAAGGGCATGCTTGTCTCAAGGATGCAGCTATTATTCACTGCCAGTTGACCGTTGCAGTATAAGGCTACAGCTCTATATCAATTTTCCATGAGAAGTCAGATAACTAGATTTTTATGTAAAATTTTTAAATATTGCAAATAAATTATGTTTAAATCATCAACACTGTATATGCTAAGCCAAAGATGCCTGCAAGACAGAGGTAGATTCCAGGCAGCACATTTGGACTTCTGCTCAGACCTCTTGGTTCATACTTTGATAAATTAGTTTACAGTGTTTCCCAACATGTTTGACACCAGGGCATGCATGAAAATACAATAATATTTGTACAGCACACTGAAAGGTGCTTCCTGTTACCTAGGGGTATCTGAACTGTGGCATCCTAATGTTAGGGTCGCAGTTCTCCCCACAAATTATTGAGGAGCTAACTTGGGCATCCCTGTAACCCACTTTAATCCATTGGCAGCACCCACTATGGCATGCCCCACTCTGTATTAGAAAGCATGGAATAATATCTGGAGGAAATGAGATGAACATAGCTTTTGCTGTTGGTAAAATAGAGAACAGGGATGTGAAGAGAAATCCCAGGATGGGGAGAAGTATTTGGTGGGAAGTAGGGAGGGTAGCTGGCTGGGATGGAGCACCTCAGTGAAGAACATAACTAAATCCTGATCAGTTGGTGTAAGTTCCTTAAAGACAAGGAGTGTAAAGGACTTTGTATCCCTGGGGCCTGGCACCAATGCTGAGGTAGAAAGTGCCTAAAAAATATTTGTTGAATGAAGGAATGAATGAAATGGAACCCCACGATGGTAATTCAGGAGGGAGAGGCCTTATCTCAAGATTCTACCACTTTCTGAGGGTGGAAGGTAAGAGTAGTCTCTTATCTACCCAACCCATGGATACCTATCACTCCCTCCTCCTCACCCCCAACTGCCTTTCAAAAATCGTTTTCTTATCCCTCAAAAAATACTCTCAGGTTTATATTTTCTTTCCTCTCCCCCTATCCCCCATTGGGTAGGATGAGAGAAAGGAAAGTTTAGTTAGTTTTAATCAACTAAGGGTGCACAAAGATTTCTAAGACACAAGAGGGCCTAAAGATAGATTTACTGGATACATCTAGTTTCTGGAGCTTCAACTCCCTTCATTCTCTTTCAAACAGATCTGAAAATACCCTTGCTGTGTGCTTTCTCTTTTCCCGCCTCTCCTAACATAAGTCCCTCCCCTCCCCCTCCTACATAATGAAAGAAAGGCATCTCTCCCTCTCAGATGTTGCACACTTCTGGGGTGCCAGGCAAGAAGATAATTCAAATCAATGCTGTAATCCCCTCACCTCTTCACCCATTCCCCACAGCCCGCTCCCATCTGGCAACCATCAAAAAGCTGTCCATATACATTATTCTCTTTCTGTTCTTCTTCTTTGCTTAGTTTGTTTTTTAGATTCATTTTTTTGACAGATATGTATATTAATTGCTATTTTATTGTTCATAGTTTTGATCTAATTTTCTTAAGTAAGTCCCTTTAACATTTCATATAATAATGGTTTGGTGATGATGAACTCCTTCAGTTTATTCTTGCCTGGGAATCTCTATCTGCCCTTCGATTCTAAATGATAACTGTGCTAGGTAGAGCAATCTTGGTTGTAGGTCTCTGCTTTTCATGACTTTTGAATGTTTCTTGCCAATCCCTTCTAGCCTGCAAAGTTTCTTTTGAGAAATCAGCTGACAGTCTATTGAGAACTCCCTTGTAAGTAACTAACTGCTTTTCCCTTGCTGCTTTTAAGATTCTTTCTTTATCTTTAACCTTTGGCATTTTACAAATAGTTACAGAATAGCCATGGAGATGTAAAGTACAGTAAAAGAAATGGAGTAGCCAGAGAACTTATATGCATGACCCATTGACATGAGCAATGGTGTGGAGATTGCCTGAGGGAGTGAGGGTTGCTGGATGGAGGGGGGCAAAGTAGAAAAATTAGGATAACTGTTAATAGCATAATCAATAAAATATAATTAAAAAAGAAAAAATGTGTCTAATAGAAAAAAACAAATTAATGGTGTAGAGAGTGAGAGGGGGAAATAATTAGAATACTTTTGAAACTCAGAAAGTTTTCAATTCCTTACTCTCTACAAAATTAAAGGAGGAATTAATTTAGTGGTTAGTCAGTGACTCATTAAAAAATGATTTTTCATGATACATTAGTATTTGATTTTAGTTGTCTTACTGTAAGAGATTCAAATAATTGCAGGCTATGCTATAATAAAATTGCTTTTTCAGGCCCATCTTCTCTTTTACATTAATGTTTGTTCAGAGCTTACATTTAAAAAAAGAATAAAATATATGTATAATTCTGGCAACAAGTAATGTTAACCCATAGATACATTAACTAACTGAAAAGAGTCTCCATTATCTCATTAAAAGATACATTTATAATAAAATTTTAACTTTCTATACCTAACATTAATTTAAATGTATCAATTATGTTGTTTGATCAATTTTTTCTATTTAATAACTGGTGGAAACTAAAATACAGAAGAAAAAAATAATAGCATTTTAGAACCAGAGAATATTTTAATTTTTATGCATATTTTTATTGCAAACAATTATGTTAGAGTAATCAAGGATTTTCAAGCATCAAAATGTGGCATATTAGGATAAAATTTTGGGGGGAAATGGAATTGAAATATAGGTTCAAGGAGAAAAATAAGTGATGAGAAATTTTGACCAATTAAAAAAGATTTTGTCCACATATTTTAAAATGGATGATGGGGGGATCAAACCTCTATGGTATTTACATTTCCTTGATTGTATTTGAATGATATAATAGTTTAATTTTAAACACATCAATGCTAATAATACACCAGAGATCATATTTTTGTCACTATTTAAATATGTGATGAAAAAGTTTAGGTGCAAATTTAAAAATGTATGAGGGAATATAAAGTGTTTCAAATTATTTTAGGGAGCATGCAAGCAGAGTCTAAAGACCACTGACGTAGGATCCAGGCCTAGGACCAAACAAAATTGTATTTACTTTCCTCAGTATAATTCTAAGATAGACTCCATCTTTAGAATTACAATAATTGGTCTTATCTTTTACTTCTTCAGTGGAGCAGATATGAAAGGATGCAGCAAGAAAATCTCAGTAATTAGCTGTTCCCCTGTAATAAGGAGAAAACATCTGGAGTAATTAGTTTTAAGTGACTTCTAAATGCAGATGATTCACAAACTTATACTTCTAGCCCAGATCGTTCCTCTGTGTTCTATTGACATTTACAGCTACCTGGGACAGATCCACGTGACATCTCTTATGGGCAGTTTGCCAGTATCATGTTCACTATTCCAATTCTGATACCATGATTCCCTTCCCCAAACCCCAAATTGGCTTATTTTCTCAATAAATATTTCCTTCCACAGCATTTAGGCAGGGTGGGCTCTTGCTCCTGTCGCAGCGGTGGCTGCCACCACTGATATGTGCCTGGGTTGCCTAGAAGCTAGAGCCAGAAAGAGAGAGAAAATAATGCGATAAAATAACAGGTGATTTCTTCTGTTTTTCTCTCAGCATTAGGGTCCTCTTTCTTGCTTCTTGGGCCATAACTCAGGCCTTCCTCTGGAGGACATTCTGTCCAGGCCGTTTCCACTTCCAGTTTCACACTGTCCAAAGTTCAGGCCGGGAGATATCAGAGGGAAAAGAAAACGGGAAATTCCCTGCTGGTTCAGCATGACTTCAGATTCTCATCTTCTTTTCTAATCTGCCTGCTGCAATTTCATTTTAGAGTAGTCATGCTTTCTGTCCATTTTATATCTGCATTCAGTGGGAAAGAGGATAGAGTCAGCTTATCCGGAACTAGAAACTCTGTATTCTGTACCTTAACTTTTATTCTAGGATAAGCATTTTCCATTAAAAAAAAAGTTAATGGGTGCACACTACACCCTCGATTGGACATTTAAGCTATTTCCAGTTTCTCCCTGTTCAAATTATGATTATTAGGAGAACTCAGGAAAATCTCTCTTTCTGGGGCCTACGCCTTCCAAGCAAATTCCTGTTATAATGAGACTTTCTCCTTTTTGCCATCAGACTGTCTCTTAAATGAGCTCAGTCTAATAGGTGTTAAGTTAAAAGCAACATTGAGCAACTCTGTTACAGTGCAGTGGTTTGAATTTAGGGGCAAATGTTGTATATAACCTGACAGACTGTGACTGGTTTATAGCATTGTAATTTGAGGGTGCATGGGTGGTCCAGTCAATTCATGCCTTGCTGGTGTTGTCAATATCCATGACTATATCTGGATAGTCTCATAAATGTCAGAACCCTCTGGCTCTCTGTCTCTTTGGGACAACATGGAGTAATAGGATGCAGGACAGTGTGTTACACTTGCTGACATGGGCAGAAAGCACCACTTCCATCTCCATGGGTGTAAGGCAGACCCTGTGATCCTGGAGACACATAGACATCCAGGTGCTTCCAGTCCTCTCCACAGTCAGTGTGCCCTTGCATCTTCACTGGAGTGGTAAGCAGTATAACCCTTACTCTCTCCTGGGTAAGAACCTCATCCTTCCACTCTGCTGAGTCTACAGAGGGCTGGAGGTGGCATATAACTTGCTTTGCATTTTATTGTATATCATATCATGAGTCTGTATTCTTCATGTAAGGGTTCACTTGATTTGAGGAAGAAGAACAAGATTTTACCACCTATAGGGTAGTAGAAAATTACTCTGATTTTCTTCTGTCAGGATTAATCTCTCTCTATGGTTAGATTTCTCTCCAGAAAGATGGAACCAATTTATATGTCCACTAAAAAGATATTAAAATGCCTGTTTTACTACACCCTTACCAGTAACTCTCATTTTGAATATTCATTAACTTAACAGATGAAAGATGGTGTTTTTTTATTTTAAATATTTGTTCCTATAATTGCCGGTGAAATGGAACATTTTTCCATGTTCACTGCTAGCTGAATTTCCTCTCATGAATTTTCTGTTCTTGTTCATTGCTCACATATTTCCCCATAGTTCTTAAGTGTTACATATTTAAAGATTTAATATTTTATATTTATTGTTTGGAAAAACCAGAATGGAAATATAAAGAAATATAGTGAAATGTTATTCTCTGGTTCTTCTTTTAAAGTATATTTTATTGATTATGCTATTACAATTGTCCCATTTTTTTTCTCTCTTGTATCCCCCTCTGCCTTGTACCCACCCCCCAGCATTTCCCCTCCTTAGTTCATGTACATGGGTCATACATATAAGTTCTTTGGCTTCTCCATTACCTATACTGTTCTTAACCTCTTCCTGTCTATTTTGTACCTACCAATTACACTTCTTATTCCCTGTACTGTTTCCCCCATTCTCCTCCCTCCTCCTCCCCACTGATAACCCTCCATGTGATCTCCATTTCTGTGATTCTGTTCCTGCTCTAGTTTGCTTAGTTTGTTTGTTTTAGTTTTTTAGGTTCAGTTGTTGATAGTTGTGAGTTTGTTGTCATTTTACTGCTCATTGTTTTGATCATCTTCTTTTTCTTTAAGTCCCTTTAACATTTCATATAATAAGGACTTGGTGATGATGAACTCCTTTAACTTTACCTTATATGGGAAGCACTTTGTCTGCCCTTCCATTCTAAGTGACAGCTTTGCTGGTTAGCGTAATCTTGGATGTAGGTCCTTGGCTTTCATGACTTTGAATACTTCTTTCCAGCCCTTTCTTGACTATAAGGCTTCTTTTGAGAAATCAGGTTGTTACAGAATAGATCTGTTTTTAGGGACCAAGATACTGTTACCAAAACAGGCCCCCTCCCCTGAGGTCTTTCTGTTCTAAGTTCATCCTGTCCACCTCCAGGAGTTAGGAATTGTGGCTGTCAGTGCTAGAGTTTGGTAAAAAGGAAAGGAACTATTTATTCAAAGTTCTATGGGTTTAGAGTAATGGCAGAATGTCACCATTAAATCTCAGAGTCCCTTTAAAACACCCACAAACACACACACAGTCCTGCCTCACCTTGCCAAACCAGGCCAGTAAGGGGTACCATATCTCAGGAAAAGAAAAAGAAGTCTGTAGCTCAGCTAGGCTCCTGTTCTTAATCCAAGACCACAACTTCATGGTGGGCCATGGAAATCCTTCTGCATTCTTTCAAACCACTAAGAGAGAGCTCCGCATCGATAACATCTTGTTTTCCTGCTTCCTAAGCCGTGTGGTCAAGGGAGCCCCTACTTCACTCCAACACTGTGTGGTTAAGCTCCAGCATGGTTACCATGCCTGGGTTTAAATCCAGGTGTGGATATTCCTCCGTAACTCCATTCCCAGCTCCTCCAACAATCGGCTACACCTGCTAGCACTCCTGTACTCTCTTCCTTTCTTGGCTTCCATAGTTAGTCCAGGGAGGCGTGGCCTTGTGGCGTGGAGCAAACCATCTCCAAGCTCTCCCACAGATGCTGTAATCATGGGTTAAAGTCATACCCATCTCCCTAGCTAGCCTGCTGTTATTGACATACAAAATAACTGTTTTTGCATATCAGTATGAAGTTAGCCTGCTGTTATTGATATGCACAATAACACACCTTTACAAGCTGACAGTCTTATGGGAACTCCTATGTAGGTAACTGTCTCCTTTTCTCTTGCTGCTTTTAAGATTCTCTCATCTTTAATCTTGGGTAATTTAATTATGCTGTGTCTTGGTGTGTTCCTCCTTGGGTCCAATTTCTTTGGGACTCTCTGAGCTTCCTGGACTTCCTGGAAGTCTATTTCCTTTGCCAGATTGGGGAACTTTTCCTTTGTTATTTTTTCAAGTAAGTTTTCAATTTCTTGCTCTTCCTTGTCTCCTTCTGGCAACCCTTTTATTCGGATGTAGGAATGTTGAAAGTTGTCCCTGCAGTTCCTCAGCCTGTCCTCATTTTTGTGAATTCTTATTTCTTCCTTCTGTTCTAGCTGAATGTTTATTTCTTCCTTCTGTTCCAAATCATTGATTTGAGTCCCAGTTTCCTTTCCTTCCCTGTTGGTTCCCTGTATATTTTCCTTTATTTCACTTTGCATAGCCTTCACTTTTTCCTCTATTTTGTGTCTGTACTCTACAATTTTTATGAGCTTCCTGATTACCAGTGTTTTGAACTCTGCATCTGATAGGTTGGCTGTCTCCTCGTCACTTAGTTCTATTTTTTGGAGCTTTGATCTGTTCTTTCATTTAGGCCATATTTCTCTGCACATCTTTTACCTTGTAAGTGGTGGATCCTTAGGTATTTGCCAGGGTGGCTCAACCCATGTTGTGTTGTGGAGCTATATGTGGGGAAGGGGTCAGAGAAGGAACAATGTCACTTGCTTGGCTCTTGCCCTGTTTTCAGTCACTTCCTCCACTACTCACAAGCAAATTGGGCCCTTTTGGTGCTGATTCCTGGGTGGGTGGGTTTGAGTATATTCTAGGACCCTGTGGGTCTCTCCAACGAATTCTCCTGTTAGGCTGGGAGTTTATCCCACCGACACAGCTCCCATAGGTTTTTACAGCCAGAAGTTTTGAGGCTTTAGGTTTTTTGAAAACCTGGATTGCACAGTCTGTCTCCCTCCCCAGTCATCCCTCCCAGTTTATAGGCTCACGAATGTGGGACTGCCTGGTTGTCCAGCTGCTGCCTTGCTATGCTTCCTCTCCGCCCCAGCTGTCCATCTTTGCCCATCCAACCGGTCTGGAAGAATGTTTCTTCTTTAACTCCTTGGTTGTTGGACTTCCATACAGTTCAATTCTCTGGAAGTTCTGGTTGGTTTTTGTTTTTAAATTTGTTTTTGTCCGTCCTTGGGTTGTGCGAGGAAGTGAAGTGTGTTTACCTATGCTTCCATCTTGGCCAGAAGAGCTATTCTCTAGTTCTGAAATTTTTTTTGTGGCATTGTTTATTCTATGTCTATATAGGAGAATGGTGGCAAAGTTTCCATTAATAACTGAAATCTAGAAAGAATCCAAAAGCTTAAATTAAGATAGTGACAAGTTTTGTTCTTCCAACTAACTTTCTGATCAAACAGGTTCAAATGCTCTCTTCCTGTTCTGCCTGTCCTCTGGTGGAGGTGCAAGAGAGCAGGCAAGGAGATCAGACAAGTGACAAAGGGGAGTAGTGCAAAAAGACTTCAGGTTTGCCTAAATGGCAAACCAGCCCCTGAGTAATTAAAGAGTGTTTGGCTTAACAAACCTCTGCTCCTTGTTCTTTCTATCATTAAATATCATTACTATTAGACTATTATTCTCAAACTAGTACTGTCCAAAGGTCCTTCTTTCCATCTTTTGGTCTTGCTGACCTGATTTTTCCTGCACAGGAAGAAAAAAAATTCCCCCAATTCTATATCTGGAAAAGAACACAGGTTGGTACAAAGAGCAGTGGACTGGGAAGTGAGGATTCTGTTCCCCGTTCTGGTACTTGCTAATTAGTTGCGTGGCCTTGGATAATTCCCTTAATCTCTCTGAGTCTAGGTTTCTTTATCTGTAAATTAATAATAGTAATATTAATAGCTCTATTGTGAGGCCCAAATGAGATAATGGTAGCAAAAGTGCTTTGTAAACAATAAAGATCTCTGCAGATCTAGAGCAGTGATTTGCAACCTTTTTCATCTCATGGAACATATAAACTAAGTGACTAAAATTCTGCAGCACACCAAAAATATATCTTTTGCTGATCTGACAAAAAAATAGGTATAATTTTGATTCATTCACACCAGATGGCTATTGTTGTGTTGGCTGTTGTCATTTTTTAATTTGACAGTCTATGGGAAAAGAGGTCAGTGCCCCTGACTAGTGAGGCATTGCATATTTTAAAAATTCTTATGGCACACCAGTTGAAAATAGCTGATCTAGTATAATAGTAATACAGTGTTAACAACTTTTTCTGAATCACTGTTTAGCTTGACAGTTGTTTTTGTATTTTAAAATGAAAAATAATCCATTTATCCTTTTTATCTTTACCAAATAAACAGAGACCTTGGTCTCAGATCCATAGAAAGAGCAAATTACATATCCTGATGTGATTCAGGTGTCTATGTGTACTGTTTAGATTTCACTTTCATTTTTTTTTTAATTATAGCATTGAAAGAATAGAAGGTTTTAAATAGTACCTTTCAGAACTAGTCATTATTTAGTAACTCTCCATTTCAAAAATATTGCTCATGTCTTTAAGATAAATTATCAGTTTCTTTTACTGTTACCTTGGCCTAAAAATAAATTTATTGACATGGTAATGATAATGATTTTTAGTTTTTTTAAAAAACATTTCCTTGAAGCTGTAATAATGTAGAATATTTAATTATTTAAATACATTAAATGTTTAAATTAAGTTTAGATGTTTAAATTAAATTGCTTATACATTTTGTTCTATGTGGCTGAAGATAGATGTGAAAATACATAGAATTATATAACTAGAAGAGTTCTGAGTTCTGCATTCCTTTCCCAAGTATACACACAAGCTCTATACCTTCCTCCCATCTCACTTTAGTAAGATATACTAGAAGAAAAACAAAAAAGGTAGCTATCTGAAAAGAGATAAAACTG